CTTGCAATTGAAAGATAACTGATTCAGAGAAAAAGGGGATGAACAGCATATTCTGGTGAGCCTAAAACAAAAACAGAAGCAGTCCGTGCTTCCACGTATCATGAGTGAGAGTCCACGTTTGAATGAGAGCTCAAGTAACTTAGAGCTTTCAGGTCGTAGAGAATGACTGCAGCTTTTGGAGTGTAAGGAATTCATATGGTCTCTCAACTCTTTCTGAGCCAAATTTTTCTATCCTTCTAATGTTGCAATGGAAGGTTGACCCTACTCTAATCTTCAAGAGGATTACTATTTATTTTTCTTAAAAATTATACAAAACACCATGAGATGCACTTTGGTCAAAATGTCAGAACTCCCCCAATAAAATGACCTTCAGAGAATGTGTTTCCCTGGTGGGAACACTATCTTGCTTATTAAAACAAGAATTAAATTTGTGCAAGAGGAAAGCTCTATTTCCTACAGAAAAAAAGCGTGCTAAATTATCTGCTACAAAGCCTTCTGAAAAATCCCTTGATGGTATCAAATATAAAATATAGTTAGAATCAAAAGAAAATTCTTTTGTTTTTACCCCTTATTTTTGCCTTTTTCCCTCAAAATATGGTACTACTTAACACATCCTAAGGGAGTGGGGTGTCAGGGGTGTCAGGAACTGAGCTCACACATGTTTTTTGGTATATTCGTTTATACCAGGAAAACAGAACACAGACAAACAAAATGCCAGTGGGGTCAGGCCCTAATCCCCCATTGGGACGCGACTGTGAAATTTCAAGAAGCTATTATAAGAAAACCTGAGAGTGATTTACAGGACTCAGACCTTGGAATGACATAAGGGAAAGGTTATAAATTTCAAACAAATTAAAAAGAAAAATGAGTGTGCCATCTTCAAAAAAGAAATTTAAATACAATGAAAATAGGTTCTGATGTGATAGAAATACGATGGTGCAAAGTAAAGGAGAAAACAGGTAGAAACATCATACACAGCATCACTAGAATGCGTACCACGTGCTGGACACTTGGCTAAGGATATTTACAAACCTAACTGTGTGTTCTTCACAGCACTGTGTCACAGGCACTCGTGCCCATTTCATGGATGAGGATGTTGAGGTAACACTCTTAACTAGTAAATGGCAGAAGAGAGCCTTGAATCTAGGATTCGAGATGCAGTGTAACAAATACTGAGGGAAGGGTCAGAAGACAGATTCCAACTCTGCTCATGCAGCAGTTAACTCTAGGACTGAGGATTTGAAGTTCACAGCCTCAATATCTTCTAACTATTGAAACATCTATGATCAGTTGGACTGGTATTTGTAGGTTAAAACAGGGTGCCCTGGGAGAGCCTAATGATTGCTTTGAAATACTACCGTCTTGTTCCTTTCAAATGTCCTCAAAGCATCAGAAGGTACGCAACCAGGATGGCCTCATTCTAAACATGGCTGGAAAGTGAGGAAGAGACCATAACTGGATTTGGAGGCAAGACTGTTGCGGCTGCTCTCTAGCCCGGTCTTCCTAAATCAGAAACTTTTTTTTTTTTGAGACTAAGTCTCACTCTACCCTCAGTAGAGTGCTGTAGCATCACAGCTCACAGCAACCTCCAACTCTACGGCTTAAGCGTTTCTCTTGTCTCAGCCTCCCAAGTAGCTGGGACCACAGGCGCCTGCCATAATGCCTGGCTATTTTTTGTTTGCAGTTGTCATTGTCGTTTTAGCAAGCCCGGGCTGGTTTTGAACCTGCCAGCCTCGGTGTACATGGCAGGCGCCATAATCACTGTGCTATAGGCGCCGAGCCCTAACTTAGAAACACAACTCACTCTTTCAGAGTACTTGGTAAGTCGTTAGTCCAGGGTGTCCCAAAGGTCCCCTCTAAAGTTGTCATACATAGGGAAAATGGGAAATTGTAGCTAAATGTACATTTATTTACAAAACATTCATTCAGAAATTTTAGGAAGAGGTGGCCAACAGGTAGAAAATATTTTGTAAATGTTTTATAAACTTTCGTAATGAATATTTTTTGTATATAAAGGAACATTTAGCTACAATTTCCCATTTTCCTTATGTATGACAACTTTAGAGGGGACCTTTGGGACATCCCATAGAAAAAAGAATGACCAGAAAGCAGTGTATAAAGCATGGTTGCACTTTGTGGGTTTATTATTGTGTAATGTTCATCAATTCTTTAAAAATCAATTTCCAAAAACAAACTAACAGTTATTTATGAGTGATATGAGAAAAATGTCTTCCTTGAGAAAAGTGTGTACTAAGTTTTCTATACTAAGCATGAACTTTTTCTAATCACAGGTAGATGACAGATACAAACGGACATATCACTGAGTACACACGAGCGTGGGGTGCCCTTCAGTCTTCAGTCTCCTGTGAGCATTTAATTATAGATGGTATCTAACAGCACCAGAAATTCTTGTAGCTAAATGTCCAGACATACAGCTCTTAATTCTCAAGTGCTAAATGAGTTTTTTTCACTCACAGTGAAAATTCAACCCAACCAGACCAGGAAAATTTGAGCAGCAAAGGAAAAGCATTATTTCGACCGAAACTCTCTGATCTGGGTCACACGCATTTCATCATCATTTCATCAATGTCGTCTCCCTCCACCATCTGAAGAGTGGTATGAGTGACGGTGGGGAAGCACAAGTGTTCCAAGCAATTCTAACACTCAATTCTAAACACTCAATTATAACGCTCAATTCTAAACACTCCGTTAACTTTCTATTGTACTCATCTCTATAACTTTTTAATCTCACACAAATCATACAACTTACTCCCGGGGCTTTGTGCTCACAAGGACTCTTAGAGGCTTTCTGCTGTTCAAGCACGATTTCAGGAAGCAATCCACTTCATTAAAAGGTCTCATAAAAACTAGATCGCCATTAATAGCAAAAATCTTTTTCCCAACTTCCATGCCAGCCATCTAAGAGAGAAATCGCAAAGACAACTTAAATTATATTTTAATAAGGAATCTAGTTTTTTCAGAAAATTAGAATCTGCAAAGTTTTAGGACTTATGGATTTTGACATGTCAACATATCTGCAATGCTTTTATACACGTTTGTAAACCAACTGAGGATGAGATAATACACTAACCATCCTCTTTGACCTAGTTTTAAATCTGATCGCATAGCTTTACGGAAATTCCATGTGCCCCCTTTATTCTCCTTCTGTAACCATTTTCTCCTATTTCAAATTTCTTTTTTTTGTTTCATCCTTTTCATTATAGTCAAACCCAGGTTAGTATTTTTTTTTACCATGTTTTCCATCTCTACCCAGTTCTCTCAGAAAGTCTCTACCTCTGTATATACGCTGATGACACCCAAATAAGCTTCTCTAGCCTGAACACGGCACGAGTGTTTCCAGTTGGCGGGGGTAGAGACGGGGTTGGAATCAAAGAAGAGAAGTCAACAGTGCAAGGTGCTGAAAAGGGGACGAGGAGGACACTGTACCTCCATGACAAGCAGGCCACTCTTTATAAGCAGCCCTATTGCCTGTTAACCACCTGCTGCTTTGGTTGCCAAGTAAATGATGAAAACCCTGGAGAGGGCACCCTCTCAGGGGCATGGTCAGATGAAGCTGTGCTCCAAGGGCATCCTCTGAAAAGGCTTGGAGAGACCTTTCCTTCTCGGAGACAGTTACTAATAAATGATCCCCTGTTGGTCAGGTCCACTGACAGAGTGTGAGTTACCCTGAGGTATTTTGTTTGAAAGTAGTGTGCTGTACATAAAGCTTTGCCTTGTGGGAATCTGTGTTTTGGAAAAGACAGACGCCTCGGCATTAGCAGATACAGGATGGGTGACAGTTTACTACTAACTTTAAACAGATTCAAAGTTAAATGTCGCTTAATTAATTCCCACATTCTTTCTTAAAGATGTAATATCAAATGGCGCCTGTGGCTCAAGGAGTAGGGCGCCGGCCCCATATCCTAGAGGTGGTGGGTTCAAACCCAACCCTGGCCAAAAACTGGGGGGAAAAAAAAGTAAATATCAAGAGTTTGCTTGAGTTAGATGAAGTATCTGACAAGCCACAAGGTGATATACTTGGGCTAGAGCACTGGAAAGCAGTCTCTGTGATCATCTGCATTCCCAGAGTAGAACACTGCCTAACATGTAGGAGGTATGAAGTAACAATTTCTGAATGAATGAGTGCAGGATGGGGGGATTCCTTTGTTTTAAAGGTTGGTGAAGTGGGCTGAGCGTGGTGGCTCACATCTGTAATCCTAGCACTCTGGGAGGCCCAGGCAGGTGGATTGCTTCAGCTCATGGGTTGGAGACCAGCTGAGCCAGAGCAAGACTCTGACTCTAATAACTAGCTGGGCCTTGTGATAGGGGTCTTTAGTCCCAGCTACTCAGGAGGCTGAAGCAAGAGAACTGCTTGAGCCAAAGAGTATGAGGTTGCTGTGAGCTGTGATGCCATAGCACTCTATCCAGGACAACTGAGTGAGACTCTGTCTCAAAAATAAAAATAAAAAAAAGCTGGTGAAGTGAGAGAATGCCGATCAGCGCGAATCCAATGAGAAAATCAATCAAAGCACGGAAGTTATATCGATATAAAAGACAGTCAAAGGTGATAGGAAAATAGAAGCTACAGGCCTTGAATGAAAGGAAGAACCACCTGACATACCTAATACAATCCTACCCCATGCAGCCCTTAAGATTCTAGGCAGGACTCTGTGATGACAGAAGCTCCAGAAACAAAGAATGAGCCACTTGGCCTCCTGGTGGGGAGGGTGGACAGAAGGGGTAAGGAGTTTACAGCTGTGAATCTTTAGCATACCACCACTGCCCCCACTCCCACCCCGCCCACAATCAGCCCTGACTGCCCAGACTGGGCTCAGCTGCCACAAATCCCCAGGGTACTCGGTAGGGCCTCAGAGTAAGATTATCCAGAAATGTTATCTTCAATAAATATAATTTCAAGGCTGATTACCTTTAAAGGCTGACTTCAATGTGTTCAGAATTTTTACATTGTATGATAACAAATTGAAATAAGAATGCTAATTTACATTACCTCAGCATTAGACCCTTTTTCTACCAATTTTATTATTGGAACTTTGTTTCTGTCTTCTAGCCCAAAGCCGTAGCTGCCTTCATTAGATTTAATCTGAAATGCAAAATATTAACAATATTGATAAAGCAACTATGAAAAGGTTACAAATCAAACAGAATGAAGTAATAATACCCCTCGCCATCAAACATGTTTCATGCTGATGTCTAATGGAGAAGAAAACTTATAGACCACATTAATCAACTTACCAATAATGATTTAGCTATAAGATTTTCTACAACTTTTAAATCATGTTTCATGAGTCGGTGTTTCATATTTGATCCTTCCATTTCCTCATCCGAAAAAAACCGGAAAAGTAGAGGTTCATCTTTGAATTCACTTTTTTCAAGGACTACAGAATCAGAGAGATTCAAATTGCTTAGTTAATCCAAAAATCAAACTCATTTTCTGTACCAAGAGACCTTTAGTAAATTAATACCTGTCCCTGTGACTTTATACTCCTACAACAAGTTACACTTACAAGTATCCCTAAGATTTTTTTCTGTTTATTTCTAGAATTCAAGCCAATGTTTCCTTTTAATTACTGTCACCCAAGGGATCTTGAATTTTTAAAGTAAGTAGTATTTTTTCACAGTTAACATTTTTTTGTATTTAACCAGGCCTGCCCCTTCCCAGATTAAAATTCAAATTTAAATAAAAGATTATAATGTGTTCCAAAATGCCCATAACCCAAAACATATAAGCCCATAGTGTTTTCAACTTGCAGTAAACATATCAAGCATGTTTTCAATATCCTGCACAATTATGGGAAAATTACAAATGGGTTACGTGTTCCCTTTCTGTGTGTGAGCAATTCCCACTGTGGTCACTTTGTTCCAACACTTCAACCAGAAATATGTCTTCTGGGGGAAATGTGATTTTAGTTTCCACGAATTCCTAGTTCTTTTCGTTTTAAAAGCAATATTCTCAAATAACCTCAATTCAGAAAAGGTCTGTTTTTTCTCCTTTATCTGAATGTTAATACTTCTCCCTGAAGCCCCTAAAATTCCTGGCACATGTTAAGTTTATATTTTCCTAGTGTTTTAAAAAATAAGGCTAAATACAGATATGAAGAATTTGTATTGACTGAAATCCTGACAGCTGTTAAGATACTTAAAAAGAGAAATTTTCTCTATTTCTTATTTATTTATCTTTCTTATTTCCCTTCCTTTGCACCTTAAAGTGTACTTATTGGGACAGATTGATGTATTGAACTAGCAAATAAAAGGAAGACAGTGGTCCCAGGGTACAGTAGAAACAGTTAAGTTTTGTGATGTGACAGGCCTGAGTTAAAATTCCAGGTCTGGGGGCCGAGCACCGCAGCTCATGCCTATAATCTTAGCACTCAGGGAGACCAAGGCAGGTGGATTGCCTGAGCTCAGGAGTTCAAAATCAGCCTGAGCAAGAAAGAGAAACCTATCTATACTGAAAAAAAAAAAAAATAGGAAAACTACCTGGGTGCTGTGGTGGGCCCCTGAAGTCCTAACTACAGGGAGGCTAAGGCAAAAGGACTGCTTAACCATAAGAGTCAAGAGTCTGAGGTTGCTGTGAGCTATGAGGACACCATAGCCCTCTACCCAGGGCAAAGAGTGGGGGGTGGGGGGAAAAACAAGAAAAAAATTCACGTCTGGGACCAATTATGAATGTGCATTGAGAAAGTTACTTAAACCCTCTGAACTTCAGTTTCCTCATCTGTCGAATGGCAGCACTAAAACCTCCTTTGTAATGTTGCATAACATGAAATAATAAGTATAAATAACTTAGCATATAGTAAGCAATCAAAAAGGCCAACTATTTTATTCATTATTTTTACAAATAATTGCTGCCCAGACAGCTGAAAGTATTGATGTCTGGATGGAAGACTAGCTGGCAACATGAAGTAACAATGAAATTATCAACCACAAATTAATAAGCACCAGAAGCTATAGCTGACAATAGAAATGAGAATATATTTCAGAATGGGTTAATGATCCAAGCAGCCCAACATGAAGCTACAGCAAGACCCACAGTCTTGATGGTTCAGCTCTAAATGACCTCACTGAGGCAGTAACTGGCCCACTGGCCTAAGAAGAACTAAACGATGAAATATATCTGTACACTTCCAGGGCAAAATATCCCTACCATGGTGCATAAATCCGTTGTCACAGAGTCCAACTCCAAATATCATTGCCTCTTCTCTGGTACGGCAATCCCCCTGTTAGCCAAAAAAGCACTGGGTGAGTTAATAGCCAGCGAAAAGCTTTGTTGCATCTTTACTGCATTCGACAGTCCCGGTGCTACATTCACACAAAGACTGCATTGCTTTGTAAGTCAGGATGCATCTAATTTTTTAAAAGCACCCAATTAATGAGGAAAATATTTTCTACTTATATTAAATAAAAAATAAATACTGAAAATATATAAGTAACAAGAATTTATTGCTGCTATAAATGATGCCTTTGTGTTACTTCTTAGATCTTGTTCTTGTAAATTGACAACACACTAAATAAAGGTAAGAAAAATCCTTGTGTATGAGTTTGGCTTCCCTTCCACCAAACGGCCTTGCCCTTTAACAGTTTAAGAAGCTCCTTTTTTCCTAGTCTCATCTTTTAGCACTTCTGAACTACCACATCTAGTCTCTCTTCTTTTTGGCTTGTATTCCATTTCTATTGTCAACACCCTCATCTGGTGTTTCTTCGTCTCTCTTCCAAATCGCTGTAATTTTTTTCTAGACTCTAACATATGCTGTTATAGTATTAAACTTTCTTACAAAGAAATTTCATGTCTCCAAATGTTAAATAGACTGTTCTTTTATAACCAGAACATATCAAAACTCTCCGTGGCCCTTTCAAGACTGTCCATGCCTGGGTTTTACTCTACTTCTCCAGATTCTCTTTCCAAAGTAGAATAGCTACATTTTTTGCTCTAGTTCACATGGCCTGTCTACTACTGCCTGAGCTCTCTGTGCTCATTTTCATACTTAGTCATACTCCTGCCTACTATGCCCTTCTCTTTATCCTCCATCCATTTAAATCCCACCTATCCACCTAGAGAGAACCAGGAGAAGTCCTGCCTCATGCTGTGCCAACTCCACTAACCCCCTTGTTAACGTCCCAAGAATTTACAATCTGTAACTTCAGACCATGCAGCTGGCCTTCTTCAAAATTATAGCTGTTTTATAATATTTATGCATTCATTTTAAAGATACGTATTTTTTCCCATTTATTGTGCCAACTGATAGAGATGAAATATTAAAGAACTCAAACATAAAACACTTCCTTGCCTTCAAGTAATTCAAATCTAGTGTAGGATTTGGTCACTTAAAATGTGGTATATTGAAAGTACCATTGTCCAGTTTAGTCAATATTCCCAGCCAGGCAGGGACACTCAGGGAACTGAGACCACAGGAGATGACCCTGCGTTCAGGATAGAGGACCTCGTAATCCTTCCTGGGGGAGATGACGCTGGGGCAGAATCTAGAGGGTATAAAAATCAGCCCAATTGACTAATGTCCCTTAACTACTTCCTGTCTTATTTATTTTTATCATCAAAGCATTTGTTTTGTACATTAAGCTTACAATAAAGGCTTTTTCAATAAATATTGAAATCTGATTGCCTTATTTGATTATTCAAATGATTTACAGGCCAGACTAATATTATGCTGCACATAATGGTGTAAAAAATGTGGTCCAAAATACCTTGATATCTCCATGCCTTTTAAAAACTCTACTTGTGCCATATAGGCTGGGTGAGCACTAACAACAATAATTAAAAGAAATAAAAGCACAAGAGAACTGCTTGGGTGTGAAGAGGCAAGGCACTATTTAACTATAAAAAGATGTGTGGCCCATGTATGTGTCACAATTCACATGATTTAAAAATTGCTTTAGAAGTACATTAATGCACTTGTCAAATAGTTAACTTTGTAGAATAAGTTATTTTATTATAAACTATTATACTAGAAGCTGTATGTCAAGGAGTGAAAAATGTATCCATAAAAAACATTCATTACGTTTTCTAAGATATAAGAGAAAAACTACAGGATCTAGAGTATATCCCAATCATACTGGAGCCAGTACTTTACTGTGGCCCCTAAAGCTGCCCAAATCAGTTCAGTGTCCTGGTCAATATGGAAATTATCATCACTTGAGAGTCTCAGTGGAAAGAGACCCTATTTATAAGTCATCTCTTCTTCCTATTGAATTAAGGTTCTCCCATCCTCACATTACTATGTCTGCCTTTTCCAAGGCAGTGCATGTGGTCCTAATCTGAAGCTAAGCAGAGTTGATTATGTCTGATGCTTAGATTTGGATATTTTGTAATAGCAGAATCATAAAGCTTCAGTGACAGAAAAGAGATGACACGTATAGTCATTCCAGTAAACTAAAACTCAGAGAAATCAAGTGACTGGTCCAAGTTTACATAAACTAGTTATTAGCATAGCTGGCATCAGATACTAGGTCGTCTGAGTTCCGGTTCAGTGTAATTTCTATTTCTACCTTGTCATAGCAGACCACTAAGAAAAACTGAAGAAAAAAATAATTGCAACCTGGCCTAGTGTTTGAGCCAGTCATTCTATTCTTCTAAGGCTCACCCTTGGAAAGTAAAAATGCCAAAAATGAAAGTTGGTAACTGACTTCCTGAGTTAAAACTTAATATGCTTATTCGGCACTAGCTTCTGCTTCGAATAAACTTATTCAATTTTCTCACATCATAAAATTTCATAAAAGTTCATATAAATTCTGTAACAGTGTAATTTCTATGTGAAATTCCAACTCTAGTACTAAATACAGAACTGATTTCAATGCCACACATTGACCAGCGTGTTATAAAAGACTCTAACACTAGGAAAGCCACTGAAAGCATAAAACAGCACTTCATCTAAAGGGAATTATTTAGTTTCATTTAAAATCGTAACTTCTATATTAGTATTCCTAACTAATTTAAGTGCTATAAAATGCAAAAGTATGTGTTCCTTGAACATTTCGTGAATTAATATTAAACAACTGAAAGGTACGTGCACAGAAAAAGCAAATGTGGATTAAATAGTAACAAGTGAAACAAAAATAGGCCTTTTACCATGAATTATCAAACATTACCTACTTGTAACAAAGAAAGCAAGCCACTTTCTTTAAGAACAAAGAAGTGCAAGGGCTTATGAAACTGACTCAAATATCTAAATGACGTTTGTTTCATTTGAGGGATATCCCCTCCACCGAAATAGTTAAGTTAGATTCGTTTTCTAAACGTTTCTTTAATCAGTGAAAAACATTCGATCATTTATTATTTGATCTCGTATGAAAAAACATTAAAATAAACTTATGTTTGGACGGGCTGGATGCCCTAATTTGTTTACGTGTAAGCAAACAGCATTGTCTCAGTTCCAGCTGTCACCATCCAACTCCTAAAAAGCAGCTCAATAAAAACAACAATAAATTATGTACCTTCCTAATCAAATGTATGCAGATGGCTAGTACAGCTCATTTTATCAAAGCACAATTATTTTCTAACAGAAAAAAAAAGCACAAGTAAATTATAATAACATGCTAGGACTAATGACATACTTTAAAAAATAAATTAGTGAACACACACACAAATTTTAGGGTATGAGCACAGCTATTCAGTGATACTCAAATGTTGCTTAGGGCTTTTTGATAGATCTCGGCCAATATTTTAAAAATAGGAACATCTTCCTTTTGAAAGATAAGATAGCATAAAGGCCAAGTTTGAGAACTCCGAAGTCAGATTATCTCGATTCAAATCCTAACTCTGCTTCACTTTCACTGTTTGAACTTGGTCAAGTGCCTCATTTGTTAGCAGATGATAATTTTGTAAAAGTACCTAATTCACATGAAGTTTAAAGTGGCAGTGAATGAAATTCAGCAATGCCTGATCGTGTAATTTACCTGTGCAATTAGCCAGTCTATTAGTTTGTTGGCCATAACCACCGATTTGTAGGTCCTTAAATGGTAATCTTTATCTCTGTAAAGTAGAAACAAAACCAAAAATGTCAAGCAAGTAAGTGAGCACAAGGAAATACTTCCATTTCGTATGAGTGCACGACAGAAAATTTTACTGCTGTAATCTGAATTGATTGCCCAAATTATGTGCAAATAAAAGAGGTTTACAAACCACACGTAACACCTGAAAAAACCTCAGAAAAGAGGAAGAGACCTACAATGAAACCAAAACAAGACATCTCTTCTTTTTCTTATATCCTTATGTTATCTGGTAATAATTTAGCTAGAAACACAGTTAAGTCCTTCCTTAAGTTCATGGATAGACAGTGACTTTAAGAGAAATGACATAATGTATAACAAAACCAATTTTACCGTAGGCTAATTGATATAAACAAGTGTCAAATTCCTACGGCAGACAATGTGTCATTTTGCTTAAAGGCTCAGTTTCCAAGAACCTTCCCATGATGTTAAGTGAGGACTTAACTGAGCAACATCTCATTAATAAAAGAACAAAAAAATAAAATTTTTTGAATTACAGTGGAGTCTACTAAAAATCTCTGCAAAGCAACACCTTTTATTCCTGCTACTGAATTCTCCAGGAAGGCTCACAGCATTATTCACATGGCTTTGCAATAGTGGAAAGCAGTCATGTCCGTCTGGAAGGAGGCACACGGAGAACTTGCTACTCCTTTCGTCTGATCAGGGCATGGACGTCATGACATCATATCCCCAGGGAACCAAGGGGATCACCTGGCTCTGCTCATCAAACTCTACATTCAGCAGACTTCCCAAGACTGAGAAATCATTCAAAGCTCAGATCCCAACCAGTCTCAAGACCAGAACTGGGCCCCAAGGGTGAAACTCTATATAGTAGAATCTCTGCAGGCTGACCACCCCAAGGACTGTAACAAACGGGTCAACCTGAGGAGGTGGTCAACACAGGGAACTAGGCCTACTGTACTGATACATACATCTGGTGCATATTTGGTCTATGAAAACTAGGTCAACTTCAGGAGGGTCAATGTAGGGAGGTGGTCAACAATGGAGGTTGTACTATAATTCATTTATTTTTCAAGCCTGGAGCAAATGGGAATGAAAAAATGACAGACTTTTTAAAATGCAAAAAAATCCAAACTGCAAAACATTTAAAGTGCCTAGCAGTTACTAGCTGTCCTTTAGCTTCTGTTGGTAATTTATAATTAAATATTTATATCATTTTTACCTACTTCCATGAGAAAACTCCCTGAAAAATGGTTGAAATTTCTGAGATTTCAATAATAAGTAAACTGGGTTAGCCACTAATCAACAGCCCTTTTATTTTATCTTTTAAATCTATTTCAATGTTTCTGACACCTCATCACCACTCCAACGTGGTTTCCAAAAACATCAACAAGAGGAAAAAGCATGGTCTATTATAAACTACATATGGTCTGTAGTTCCCGATGTTAAGTCATTTTTCTTTTTACAAGCTGAGTTCACACATATTAGAAGCATGACTATCATGCATTCCATCTGTTTCATGGCTTTTTCCCCATAAATCTCCCCCTTGACAACTCATAAACAATTGTCATTTCTAGCCAAAGAACAATTCCTTCTTATCAGTTCTTAACAGATGCAATTTTCCTCATCAAAAACAAGCTCATATAGCTAAAACATATTTTGAAAACACATTTTTGCACATGGGAAACCAACATATATACAACTGAGATGAAGAATCAAACCATTATCATTTTCTATTGTTTAGCCAAAAAAAAAAAAAAAGCCATTTAAGTACTTAATTGCTATTAAGTATTTGGCACTGAGTTATCCAAAATATTTGCAGGGCATCTGTGACTGGATTATGTCAGAGTCAACACGTACTCTTTCCCACATCTTTCTACTTTATGAACTCTACTCATGAGAGTAGACAGATAGGACACTTTCGGGGAGATGGGTAAGATCCTGTTCTCTCCTCTGGGACCGACAAGCAGTATGTCTTCTGTAAACGTGCCTTCCAATACAGTTAGCAACATCTGGAATCTTTTTTTCTAAGCTGTGCATTTTTTTGGAATTATAAACCTGAATGAAAAATAGAAACACTATACACACTACCCATTTGGAGTTAATAGCCAAGATCGAAAAGTATCTTTATTTATTTTAAAAATGGTCTAGGTATTTTTTGTTCTGAGAATATGATTTACTCAATGAACTCTGAATAATTTCTGGCCATTTGAAATTAGTTTAACCTTCTAAACTAAAGAAATATATAATGAGAGTACCATAATTTATGGTATATTATGAAAGTACCATAATTTCCTGAAGATCTACTTCATTGGTATTCATAATATAAACCTCAGAGTTTTCCATTATCTTTCTAAAGAGATAATTTGAAAACTAATCCTAAATTCTAAAAAAAAAAAAGAAAAAAAAGAACTTTACAAGGGAAAACATGATAGAGACTAAGATTATAAAACTATGTTCATTAACTTCAAAATAATTCTTAATTTTCATGTACAAAGTTGTTTCTTTGGAGAAAAGATTGTTAGGAGGAAATACTATAAAATAAAATGCATATCCACTATTTGATTACACAGTTTAATTTAAAAATTAATATACAAGTAATCATAATGGTAAGTCCTAGGAGTTAGTAATGTTCCAAATTGTTTCCCACTCAATCGTTTTGGATTGTTTCATTACCAAGTCTATAATTTACTGTGAATTAATGGTAAAACAACTTTAGAAATCAAAATAAAAAGAATGAAAGACACCATAATTATAAGCTTATGAAAATTAGGGATTTTTTTTAAATAAATTACTTAAAATAATATTTTAAAGCAAAATTTTCACTTTTGGAAGAAAAACAAAATAAGCCAGTAAGTTCTAGGTGAATAATATTTACCTAATATACTGTATTAATTTTTGCATTTAAATTCCCCATAACTTAGAAACCAGACTCACCTTATCACTGGAGTAAACAGACTATGAAGACGACAGTATAATCTTACACCCTATGTAAAATAAAGATGTGACAAAAACAAGTAAGATCACCCCAAAGACATATCAATGAAATCTGAAATAACAGCTGACATTCTGAAATCATTATACAATTTCAACCAACTTAAAAATTCTTCAAATGTTACATTTTATCATAAAAATAGTGTGAGTTAAAACATTAAAGAATAGGATTGAATTGTGCTGTGAATTTCTCATACATATAAGACACATACAAAGGCTTTTCTAAATTTTTAATATAAAAGTAACATAAACTAGACAGAAAATAAACCTACATAATAATACATATGTAATACTTGTTCATCATAGATCAACATAAATTTTCGTCAAGTGCATTAAAAACCCAGTATGACATTTACTTTATATATTTGTATTTTTAATGTGTTGCTGCAAGTAAATCAGTTTCAGTGAATATTAAATTTCTGAGTGTCACAAGAGCACTGCTTCCATTTAGAACTAAGAGAAAGAAAAGGCAATCTAATATTAGAATATTAAAATTCTAAAAAAGAAAGAAAGAGCCTTGTTTTCATGTATAATTTAAGAATTTTCTATACTAGGAAAGGGTTTTAAGTCCCTGAGCTGCTTTCTGTTCTTCTGAAGAATGACAACATGAGTTCTACTGTTGAAGAGGTTTTGAGAGAGGTCATTACCTTTGAAATTACATCCTGCATCTCATTTCTTGGGTAAAATGTCCCATCATCATAGCGAAATCTATATAACATCTGTTCTGGTTTGAACTGATGTTTGTCAGTAACTAAAAACATAGAAACAATATGTTAAAATAATGACAACCTAAAAAGTAACATATAAAAAAAATTTATTAAATACATATTCCCAAATATGGAAGCTATTGGTTTTACAAAAAGGTTTTGCTTTTCTAACATAGTCATGCCAATCTCATATTTTAACAGTAAGATTCGTGGTAAGATATTGTTATTTAATAAATTTACAATTTCCATATACTGCTTTAAGAACTACATCGAGGTTAGCAACATTTGGCTGGCATAATAAATATTTACATGTGTGCCTGCATAAATACACATATACAGTATATATTTATGTTTATATTAATATGAGTTTATTTTTTCCATATTTTCACAATATCACAGCTGAACAGAAAGTGTCTTTCAAAGAGAAGATTCTCAAATTAGTGATTGTGATTTGATTTTCAGCCCTGGAAATGAATTTTAGCATTTATCTGGTTTATCTCACTGTGATAAGGCCAAGACCACACATACACCCATCTTGACCACTTAGCCTATGTTTAGACCTCCAGCCAGTGGAGGTCAAGTAAATTCAGTATCTGATTCCAAATTTTAAGTTCTTATGCTGATAAATGCTTTTCTTACATATCATTTAAGATTTTATTTCTCAGTGGAAAATAAGAATGGTTATTCTTCATTACCATCCTTAAGATAAGAATTTCTTATTTGTAAAGACTCATTCTCAGGACCTGCCTGCCTCCTTGGTGAATTCTACTGAACATTTAAAGAACTAATGCTAAAACTTCTCAAACTCTTCCCAGAAGTTGAAAAGCAGGGAACACTTCCAAAGTCATTTTACAAGGCCAAACATGGATACTACAGAAAACAAAATTACAGACCAATATTCCTGATGAATATTCCTGATGCCAAAATCCTCCACCAAATACAACCAAATGAAATTCAACAGTACATATTAAAAGGATCATACACTTTGATCAGGTGGGAATTACGCTTGTGATGTAAGGATACTTCAACACATGCAAATTGGTAAATATGATAGACAACATTAACAGAATGAGGAATGAAAATCATATGATGACTTCAATAGATGCAGAAAAAACATTTGACAAAATTTAACATCCTTTCATAATAAAAATTCTCAACCAATTTGGTATAGGAGGGATATATCTCAACATAATAAAGACCATGTATGGCAGGCCCACAGCTAACATCACAGTTAATAGTGAAAAGTGAAAAGCTTTTTCTCTATGATCAGAACAAGGTAAAGATGCCCACTCTTATCCCTTCTACTCAACCTAGGGCTGGAAATTTCAGCTAAAGCAATGAGGCAAGAATAGAAATAAAAGGCATCCAAAGTGGAAGGAAGTAAAATTGTCTCTGTTGGCAGATGGCATCATTTGTATATAGAAAACCCTCAAAATGCCACCCCAAAACTGTTAGAGTAAACAAATTCAATAAAGGTGTGGGAAACAAAGTCAAAACACAAAAACCAGTAGTGTTTCTGTACACGAACATAAACTATTTGAAAATGAAGTTAAGAAAATGATCTCATTTACAATAGCATCAAAAAATGAGGTACAATACTTAGAAATAAATTTATCCAAGGAGGTGAAAGAGCTGTATATTAAAAAACTATAAAACACTGATGAAAGAAATTAAAGAACATAAAAACAAATGAAAAGATATCCTATATTAATGCATTGGAGGAATATTGTTAAAATGTCCATACTACCCAAAGTGATCTAGAGATTCAATGCAATCTTTATCAAAATTCCTAAGACATTTTTCATAGAAATAAAACAAACAATTCTAAAATCTATGTGGAACTACAAAAACCCCTGATAGCCTATGCAATCTGGAGGAAAAGAAACAAAGCTGAAATTCTACTACAAAGCTACAATAACCAAAACAGTATGATACTGGCACAAACGTGGACATATAAACCAATGGGACAGAATAGAAATCCCGGAAGTAAACCAATGCATTTATGTTCAGCTGATCTTCCACAAAGTGACTGAGATCATACAATAGAGAAAGACAGTCTTATTAACAAGTAGTGTTGGGAAATATAGCCACATGTAGAAGAATGAAATTATACCCTTATCTCATATAATACACAAAAATCAATTCAAAATGGACTGAAGACTTAGTACATAAAACTACTAGAAAAACCACGGGGAAAATCTTCTCAATGTTGGTCTGGACAATAACTGTTTGGATATGACCCCCAAAATACAGGGAGCAAAGGCAAAAATAGACAAATGCAATCTTTAGGGCTAAAGTACAGCATATAGCCCTAAAGGGCTTCTGTACAGCAAAGAAAACAATCAATTTGCCAATGGGGGTGAGTATTCAAAACATAAGAAACTCATTCAATTCAATACCAAAAATACAAATAATTTAAAAATAAGCAAAGAGCCTAAATAAATACTTCTCAAAAGAAGAAATTCACATGGCATATGAAAAGGTACCTAGCATCTCTAATCATCGGGGAAATGCAAATCAAAACTAAAATGAGATATAACTGCACACCTCTGAAGATAGCTATCATAAAAAGACATAAGGGCTGGTGAGGTTATGGTGAAAAGTGTTGGTGGAGATGTCAATCAGGTTAGTCACAGAAAACAATATGGAGGTTCCTCAAAAAAACAAAAATGTAACTAGCATATGATCCAGCAGTACCATTTCAGGGTATGTATTCAAAGGAAATGAAATCAGTATGTCAAAGAGATACCTATCTACACTCCCATGTTTATGTGGCATTATTCACAATAGCCAAGATACATGATACAAAATCAACCTAAGTATCTATTGATAGATGAATGGAAAGTGAAAATATATAATGGATTGGATACTTGAAAATTGCAAAGGGAGTAGATGCCAATGTTCTCAACTATAAAAACAAAATGATCACCATGTAAGGTGATGAGTATCAATTAGCTCAACTGTAGTGATCTTCCCAGTTTATACCCATGTTCAAAACATTAGGCTGTACAGCATGAAGATGTGTCAGTTATACTTCCATAAAGCTGGGGGGAGGAGACTCCTATTAAATTTCTCTTCAAGTTTTCTCTTTTCCAGACGGTTATTTTATACACAGTCTAATAAAAAATGACTTCCAGAAAGTAAAAACTTCAAATTAAGACTCAAAGAGTGTACATTTAAGTATTTTCTTTGCACAGAATGCAACATTTGCAAAGGAGATAATTTGCTGCAATAGGCTGTCTTTTCATGATTTGATAAAAGATGACTTTGACCTTTACTTTTTTTGCTAGAAATGGTCAAAGGGGAGAAAAAGCTGTCACAATTTTCATTAACTACATTTGGTGCATCCAGAAAATAGTCAAAAGACTTGTTAATACACACTGCCCACCAAGCCAAGCCATAAAGCAAAAAAGAATGTATGAAAGTAAACTCAAATCAAGGGAAATATTTTGAAATGTTATGGCATGTTTCAAGGTCAGTAATTTATTTCTACTATGCCAAATGGTCACATTTTTTTTTCTTCATGTTTTTGAAGAAATGTTACCTAAAAATTTGTACCCTCATATTAATTTGAAATAAAAAATAAGTTAAATAAATTAAAAAACAAACAAACAAATGGAAGTTTAACCTATTCATTCAAAATGGAGTGCTTTGCATGATGCAAATTCTTGTGACCTTGCTAATGAACCTTAAGTTAATCTTCAACTCTGAGGTATTGCCTTAGAGTCCAGCAGTTCTCAACCTTGGGTCATGACCCACAGGAACTGTAATAAAGGGCTGTGGCATTAGGAAGGTTGAGAACCACTGCCTTAGACAAACAATGAACAGTTTTGTTTTCAAATCCACCCTCCCAATTTCTCTAGCATAGAAAATGGATCTAGTAACTATTGAGAGTTCAGGTCATCTTGTGAAAAAAAGTTGCTTGATGCAATCATTGAAATAAGCATGAGTGAGAGAGCCAGAGTTGGACTATAAATGTTTAGTGCTCTAGGCGGCGGGGAGGGGAGAATAGGGAAGCAGCCGCTCATTTCTGTGGTAGGAACACTTCCACTCGGGCCAATTACAAGCTACCAACTTGAAGTCACTGCACAGGAAGTTAAGATGCAGTGACACGGCATGACTATTTCCACCACCCAGGGACAATATGTATTAATAACCTCAAGAGCATAGATAATGGTACAACATAATGGAATAATTATGCAGGGATAAATTTTAAGAATGTTTTGGCTTTGTGTATAATATCATTATGTGCTTCTATGTTTATATAATTTAATTTTTAATAATAATGGTGTTTAACAATCAACCAGCTTGCAAAATGTTTTTAATTTAATTATCAGCTTTCAGGAGCTTGGACCAGTCAACTTCATCACGCCACGGGATATAACAAATGAGGTCTCTGGACTGTTACATAAGCCTTTCTACTGTAGGGAGTAGAGCCAGACAAGATGAATATTATCAGCATACCGCAGAGAAAGCATATGCTGCCTCAACCCAAGCATCCCTGCTATAGCGAGGCTTTCTGCCTCTGACAAAGCTCCCAACAATATCTGCAATGTGAATAATGGCCATAATAGACATTTTTTGGTTGGCTTCTTTAAAACAGATGGTTCATTCAACTTTATTTTAGGAATCCTATTTTCACAAAAATGCAGCTGGAACCACATTCTAACAAAACTAGCACATTTGTTTTATACTTCTTCACTCTAATTGACTTACTCTACTAATGTGAAATTGCATAACATGTTCTCTTTCTCCTGGTTTATATGCAAACATGAATCAGTGACCTTTACTTCTTAGGGGCTGGCAGTTTCAAATATTTTTACCCTGTCCATCACGAAGTCCAGCTGCTGTCTATTTCCTTTCAGAAATGCAGAAATGCACTAGGATGGAAGAACCAATTTTTTGCAGGGAATATTAAAAAGGAAAAATAGCTTTTGTACTGGTGAACCCTAGCTACTGTGACAAACCTCCTCAACACAGTGACTTACATTGTTAAAGGTAATTTTTCACTTATGTAAAAATCCAGTCAGTGATGGAGGATGAGGTTATGGGTCCTAAACCCTCACGCAGGGTTTAGGTATCTGCTATAGGCCCAACCATCCTCAGCGTTCCTAAAGGTCACCTTGAGTTTGGGGGCGTTTGCTTTGTAATGCACTGTACACTTCCCACATGCGGCACTTTTGTGTACATGTCCTTGGGCGCAATTCAATTACACAGCCACCTCTGACTGCAAGGAAACTGAGAGATGTGTTATACTCGCGACCACAAAAACAAAAGCTAAACCAATTTTGGTAAATAAATACCCAATTCCTGCCACTGGGGCTTAGCTCCCAGGTTAATAATAAGATCTGTGGAATTATACTGAAGACAATACAAACATTTTATAGTGATAGTATATAATAGTTACACTATTTGGGGGGTGGCAGTGCCTACAGGGCTTGATGACAGGAGGAAGAAAAAGGCATCAGAGATGATTTCTAGCCGGGTACATGGTGGTACCATCACTTGGGTGATACCCGGAGTAACAAGGACAATTTGGAAGAATCTTGTTTGTCTGAACACCATGTTATTGAAGGAAATTACATTTAAACACCATAGCCAAATATCCATATTTATTAATAATTTCTTGCCTTCTTCTCCTCTCTTGTATTTCACACTGGAAATTCTTCAAGATTTTATCCTCAGTCTCATTGTCTCTACTTTCTTGGGTTTTTGTGTTTGGTTGATGTCAGTATTTTCAGGAATATGGT